AATGCCAACCTGGGTTTACTGGAACTTTTTGTGAGGTTGAAAATTTTGTTAAAGTCACATTACTGGATCTTTCTTACCCGTAACTGGTGCTTCTGGAATACGCCTTATGTTATATTAATTGATTTCGAGTTCGTGATTCATAATTTCTTATAAAAGATTGCTTCTTAGAAGAGTTATGATATAAGTAAATATCATTTTAGTATTTCCTTTTTTTACAGACACGAATTAATAGATGTGAGAATCACATCTGTAAATTTGGCGCTTGTATCAGCGGTATCGACGAATATAGGTCAATTTTTAGTGTTTTAACACTTCCTAATTATTGTGTGGTTTTTTAGAACAAATAATTTAGAAAGAAAAAACATGGCTAGTCAAATGCTGTCGACTTTGTTCTCTGTTTAATAAACTTTTATAATTGCAGTTGTGTATGTCTGCCCGGATACGATGGACAATTTTGCGATGAAGAAATGAATTTATGCAAACTATCACCATGCTTAAATGGTGGAAACTGTACAACAGCAAAAGGCAAATACAATTGTGATTGTCCACCTCACTTTGTCGGATCACGTTGTCAAGTACTGGTAAGAATTTCAGATGCATTTTTTTTTTTTTGATGATGAAGTAAATGGAACTTCTTTTGATCTGAATAAATGATATACAACTGAAACTGTAACGGACAGTGATCTACTTATATAATAAAATAAGGACTTTAACAATAAAGGACGGCAATATTTCTTTTTTTTTCAGAAATCATCAAAATGTCTTCCTTCACCATGTGAAAATGGAGCGAACTGTACGGTAGTTAAGGTCAGATATCATTAAGCATCATTCTTTTCTACTTGAGGAAAAGACTAACTTAATAATAAGAAAGCAGTGAGAGGTATGAAAGAAGGAGGATTTCATTTAAAAGAAATAAATCCTTCCGGAGAAGCTAGAGAAGTTTTCTAATATTCAAATTTTGTGGGAATATAAGTTCATTCAAGATTTTCTGCAAACATATAAAGCGCTTCAGTTGTATTTTATATTTTAGGACACATTCAAATGCGACTGTCCGCCAGGTTTTGATGGTATTCTTTGTGATATACAAAAAGATATTTGTCAATCAAATCCATGCAAAAATGGAGCTACATGCTTGCCAAAAGATGGCGATTTTAAATGCATATGTACCAATGGTTATGAGGGTACTGAGTCTATCCGATTATGTTTATCTTTTTTTTTTTTCGCTAAATAAATGAGATATTATCTATTTTTTTTATTTAGCATTAACAAATCCTCGCAAGCTTTACACCTTTAAATTTTCTACTTGCAAGAAAAAACATGACAGAGTGGAATAGAGAGTTTAAAAAAGTGCAAATCTTTTCATAACTATATTATTCTCCACTTTGTGAGAAATATTCAAAAAAATGCTAAAGCCATTTTACAGAATATATGGTGCATTAGAATTATTTGCGCATGAAGTGATCTTATAGCTACAACATTAGGTTAATAAAATCAAGTTCCGTTACATACTTTAAATTAGCAAGGCAGCTAATAATATTCATAACTCTTGTCATATCAGGTAACATAACACTTCTTTCACCTACATTTGCAGGTCGAATTTGTGAGGAAATGAAAGATTACTGTAGTACTTCACCTTGTGTACATGGAGAATGCATAACCGTAACTGACAATTTCCTGTGTAACTGTGAGTCGGGCTGGAATGGTGAACACTGCGATATTGATATCAATGAATGTATACGATTTCCTTGTGAACATGATGGTAACTGCACCAATACACCTGGATCATATCACTGTAGTTGCGACAGCTATCATTTAGGTTATTATTGAAATTCTGTTTAATTATTTCTTTCGAAATCAAATCTACTATTCAAGTTCTTAAACTCAATGTACTGCTCCCAAACTATCTAGCAATGAAGCTTCTGCTTTGGTCCCTTTTTATAAGTAATTCTTCCGCTGATCTAAGTTTTTCAGGTGATCATTGTGAAGTAGTGGGCAGTTGTGTAGAGCGACCGTGTGGTGATAACGGTGATTGCATACAGCAAACATCGACTACGCATTCATGTGTTTGTAGACGGGGATATACGGGTGATACCTGTGACATGCTGATTGATTACTGCAGTCCAAATCCGTGCGAGAATGGCGCCACTTGCCAGAAGTTCATTGGTGGCTTCAGCTGCTCATGCTTAGCTGGTTTTGCAGGTTATTTATTACAATAAAGTCTGAAAACTTTCCTTAAACATTAATGAACAAAAAATTTGAAACTTTCAGTGAATTTATTTATCACTGGCCACAATTTCTCTGTTTTCAATCCACGATACGAAAGTTGAAATTCTTATAGTCTTTTTCCAAACATCGCTTTGATTTTGTATATATAATTATAATAAAGCACTAAACTTTTTCTTTTAACAAAACTTTAGATATCTTTCTTCCTTGGAAATTGTTGGAATTATAAATGAGATTTTGGTATTGCAAAAGTGAGAATACTATGTTAGAAGCTTGAAAACATCTAGATATATATCAAAATATAAATGTTGACTGATTAAGGTGAAACATGTTCATTGGATATTGATGATTGCATTAATGAAGTATGCCGGAATGGTGGACATTGTATGGATAGGATAAATGGATACGAATGTGATTGTGAAGGTACAGGTTACCGGGGTACTCACTGCACTGAGGACATCGATGAATGTGAACTGGGTGTTTGCGTCTACGGTAGATGCACCAACTTGATTGGCTCATATAATTGCATTTGCGACATAGGTTAGTTTATTTAGCTAGAAAAATCACCAGACTACAATGAAGTAAGAATTAATTTGGTGATTGTTTTAGGATATATGGGAAAACGATGCACTGTAGAAGACCCATGCACTCTGGATAGCCTGAATCGAACGAGACATGACTGTGTGCATGGTGCATGCGTTCATCCTACAGTTAGCATGAAGAATGATATGGAAGTGGCAAATTATGAATGCGAATGTGAGTTCGGCTATGGTGGAGAGTATTGCATCCACTTAGTCGAGAAGAGCAGGTATTTATCTTTAGGTGTTTCAGTTTCTTATTAATACTAGCTTATTCCTCTAGTCTACCATCAATGATTGATCAGATTCCTTCCTACATTGTGATTTATTTTCTATGCTATCAGAATTAGCTACTACTTTTTATAATAGCTATGAGATTTTTATGAGTCAAATTTTACATTATTTCATTATCTTAAATGAGTATCATAGCGGCTATCATTATTAAATCAAAGAATAAAATTTTAGATCTGTTTCATTGGGTTACATAGTTGGACCAATGCTGGCTCTTATCATAGCATTGCTCATTATTGGCTTTGTATTATTGGCAGTAGTTATGATTCATGGACGTCGTGCAACTCAGGGTGCCTATAGTCCATCTCATCACGAAAGTAGCATCTCACGAATGCCGGTATTTATACTTACTACTTTTAATCTCATTTTCTTAAAACACTCAAGAAATTAATTCATGAAACGAAACGAGACATTAGAAACTAATGATAATGAAGAATCGATAAATAAAATACTCTTTATCCATGCAGAAATTAGCATAAAAAACTTTCTCTGTTTCAGATGAATTCAATGCTCAAATCTCCACCCGAAGAAAGACTGATATAGCAGTGGTAGTAGAGTATAATTATAATAAAAATGTCATCTTTCTCCTTTTTACGGGTTTGATAATGTGCCTTTAATTTTTGCAATTATTTTTACGATAGAAGAATACCGCCACTATTTGTGTTCGTTTCCTATATAGCCAGATATTTTACTGAATATACTTTACGAGCACGTGGATACACTTAATGAGCTGTTTTACATATAATTGGTTGAAAAACTTCTAAAAGTGCCAGTAAGTGTTTCAAGTTTCAAGTTATCGATTTATCTTAAGTTATTTTGTCTTTCTTTGCTGTTGATTGCTGTTTTCTAGTAAAAAGCAATAAAAATATGAATTTGTCTTTTAATAGTTTTGAAACCATTCATTCCTCTTATTTCCTTCTATTTGGCTTCCTGTTCATTACATCATATTAAAACACTGTAAGCTTTTTGACTTTTCAAAGCTTAACATAGCAGTAATGATTTTTTCCCTATAATAGAAAAATTACTCCAGTGTGCCAAACGGTTTCATTATCGAATTCTGCTTTTGCCGCTGTAACATCGTTTTTTGATTTACGTTGTGATAATAGGAATTATCTGTGGAAGAGTTATTCTGAAATATACTGTTACTAACATAACTGTAAATTACAGATGCAATTTGCCATAAAATTGAAGTTGAAAAAATATTTTCTGTATTTCCTTATAACCATACAAAAAAAAAAAAAAATCCTTATAAAAATACATCTTTGATAAAGGTTAGCTTTCCACGATAAGAAAAAATATTGAAATAGAAGTGAAAAGATATGGAATATATTACGAAAATCGATATAGGAATTTAAAATTCTATTTCTTTCTATTTCAAATAACTAGATGGATTTCAAAAATGATATTTCAGTTTATTTAAGAATCCTGCCAACGCTTATAAGCAATTCCATCAGATTAAATGTTAACTCACATAAGCGAATTACTCCTCAGTCGATGCAAACGCTTGCACTGCAGCAAACTTTGCCGCGTCAGGACATGCATTTTCGGATATGAGGACAATCCAATGATTCGGAACATTGCCTATTGTATAAATGTGATTCATATTCCATCGCACTAAAAAAAAAAAAAAAAAAAATAAATAAGAAAAAATATTGAAGCAAAATGATATTTTTTGGATGCGATGATATATTTTTCAACGTTCGCTACTACTTTTAAATTGGCTATTTTCGTTCAATTTTTTACACTAATTTTTTGATTTGGCACCAAATAAATTTTGTAATGTTGAGTAAGTTAATAACTCTGTTAATTCATTTTTTCTCATTGCTTAGTCCCATTTTTATTTAGATTATGAATTTTGCGCTGCCTTCATCAAGTAATTTTCCCGTTTCTATATAGATTTGAAAAAATATGAGTAGTTTGGCAGATTTCACTTTATCACAATTTTGGCAATGTTTAGGAAATTCCCAGGAAAGGATACATTTACCATTTATAAAAGCCGGTACAACCTGGTTCTGCTGGATGAAACCTACAGGTGAAATAATTCTCAGACTGGAACAAAGCAATGTTAACAAGTTGCATATTAAAAACCGTAATGCACTTGTTGTCTTCAACTTCCAAACAATCTGTCGTTTGCTATTGTTATTAAGCTTAAGCTTGAACGTACTCAAAACCTTTATGGAATCGATTTAACGCAAAATTGACAGTGCTGCAATGCAACTATATTTTTGTTTACATTACTTTTTAATGAATTATTTTATATTTAGAGAAAGTGTCCGAAATTATCACCTGCATCGAGGAATTCTCACAAATTCTCACTGAGCTACGGGAATATGAAACTAACAAAAGTCGAAGGTTAGCTTATCGAGTAACTACGATTCACTCACAATTGTTACCATCGCTGAAATCCATGTTTTTGTGATTTCTTGAGAGTTGAAGATCTTTTCACTTGAACTGTTTTTAGTTTTATTTTTCTTAGCTGAAGTTTCTGTAATTAGTACAAGAAGACAAATTTGCAAATTGGAAAAGACGACAAAAATTGGCTGAGACATGATTTCAGTAACTTTAAGTGTTCTTTGCAGCGATTGTTCTAATTGACCGCAATTCAAAGTTGATTCCTCAGAATCAAATATTTGTTCACCGTTGGATTCTTCGGTGTGAAAAATTCGCTCATATCCAACTATGCTGCAGTGAAATGTTAAGTAGTTTTTTTTTTTTTTTTTTGGAAATTTTTAAGTAAGCTTTGAGTGTTTTGCTTGGTACTTACAAGTTTCACTTTCTATTATAGGGAAAAAGTTTTTAATACACAGATTATATAGCATAGAATGGACTTTAAGTAAATCGTTACATTTTATCACTCTATCTATGATACTGTGTACAATTAAAACTTTTAGTGGAAGTTTAATTAAATTTAATTATTTAATTAAAGTTAATTACCAGAAGGTTCGACATGAGGTAATCCGATGAAGTCACCATTGGTTGTGAAAAGATAAAGGGAAAACAACAATTTGACAAAATCCATTTGCTGCCACGTTTCTATGTAATTTGGACGAATCCACAATAACATGCATTCCTGCTCGCTATAATGAGCAATTTGGCCATTGCCAGATGGAAATGTCTTGAAAATTACAATTATTAACAAAAAACTTTGATTTTTTCCCAAAATTTTTTGTTTGTAATTCTTTAATCTCTCAAACAATCTCAAAAAATTCCTTTCCAGCCATTTCTGAAAAAGACTGAGTAGCAATCGATCATTATCATTCATTCCTAGAAATATTGCACTAATTATTCTCCGGAGTTATCATTATCATTCATTCCTAGAAATATTAATTGCTATTGCCGATTAAATTCTATTCGATTAAATTAGGTGTATCGTTGACAAGCAAAAACGGAATATGCGCAACTCTCTCATTGTTTCATTCACACGCATTGTGCTAAAATTTTTTCTGATAATATTATCATTGATAAATATATAGATAATATTATTAACGTTCGCCACACATTCATTACTGCCCAACTGTTTCGTATTTTCTTATACATTGATGAATGTTATTTGTAAGCATCACATTATTTTCATATGTAAGTTTGAAGTGGAGGCATAGAACACTGGAATCAGCAAGGCGCAAGTGCTCTATTCATACAGTTTTTTCCATTTCTACTCTTGCAAAAATTAGCTTAAATCGGAAAGCATTTTAAGAAATAAGTACACCGTTTTTTGTTAATTGATACAGTCTCATAGTTTGACTCTGTCTGCAGATCACTGACTGATAATTCGTGTTTTTCCAGGGGTATATTATTAATATCCTCTGAATATAATCTACAATCTCACAAACTATATCTTTGTGTCGTAAATATTGACTATTTTCTTATAACTGCTATCACTCAAATTTATTGTTGGGATAATAAACGTTTGCAAACACGAAATCAATTCATTTCTTATGCTTTTCTTTAATTGCTAGATAGAAGCATAATAATGCAAATCGTTAATTTTTGTTTTACCAAACATAATACTAATCGCAGTTTCACTTTGTTAATAACTTTGAAAATTGAAATAAACATACACAACATCAACCATTATCAGAACTCGTTAAAAATAATGTAAACCTCCTTGTTCACAGACTAGCGAATTAAATGACTGAAATCGCTTTGAAGTTTTTTTACCCATCGACAGTCGAAAAATACTTAGCTCTAAATATGCAAATTTCAATGTTCCAGACGTATATTAGAAGAATATAGTTGAGAAACATATGAAATTCTTATGATCTTTGTAATTCTCTGTTAGGGTTAAACAAAAAATTCGCTATAAAACAGTACGGTCATGCATAATACGAATTGAAAAAAGTGTGCAGATGGGAACACTGCAGTGAAGACAAAAAATTGTAATGATCGTAGAGAAATTAGGATGATGCTGCACGGTTTATTTAATTCTAATACCTTTAAATGCTAAAGGTTAACATGTAGTCAAGTAAAGATTTGCGTAGTAATACAAATAGTAGTAAAACTAACATTTTGATTTTCTGATATAAATCTAACAAAAGAATAAGATGAAAGAGGAGCAAAAACTGATATCCGTTTCCATATTTCTTTAGGAAATACTAAAATCTGTTCTCAAAAAATTTCTTTAATAGTTACTTTTATTTTTGTTTCCAATTGAAAATAGCAAAATTATATTTTGCTATCAGTAACAAATGGGTTAGTTTTAATAACATTCTAGTATTTGCTAAGAAATAAGACAGATGTTCTTTAAAAATACTGAACCTCGTAGTTCATAATCTGAAACTACTGATTTTATCAATCATGAAGTACATTTCTGGTTCACGTCGTTTGATTACTGATAAGATAATTTTGGAAGATACTTTTAGTCAGTACTGTAATACTACCGAAGTCTTCATATTGATGTGGCTCAATTTATGACAGTGTCATAGAATGAATCTCAGAGTTCGTCGAATATAAATAAAGGAATGAGGCTCAGTGATTTGAGATATTTGCAAGTTTCACAAAAATTCTAATGTAAGTATATGTTGCTAGAATGTGAAACATCTTTATCTGATGCTGGCTACCGATAATAAGGATGTATATTTAATTGCACCAAATTGATTTACTTACATTGAATACACTTCTAATTGAACGCTATTGTGATTGCATTATACTCACTTTTCCATTCCAGCAAAAGACAGTGTATCATTTCTACAAGTTCCTAAAATTCAAATGAAATAAATTATTGCACGACTTAATTTACAACAAACTTACGTTGTGCTAGAAGTAACGAGTTTGTATTGGACATGTTTCAAGTACATTCTTTCTTGTGATTTTTCCATCTCAAATATTTTTTTCAGAATAGCAAAATAATTTGAATCATATCATTCAATGAAGGATTATGCTAATAATATGAGCATCAAAGCTGATAGGATTTGTAAATGATAAATCATAAAACTAAAAGTGTTATAGAAGATGATATAATGAACGACATACCTAAAGAGATATAAACAAGCAAATATATACATTTTAAAATAAGTGTAAACACTGAGCAGCAATAGACCACTGATGAATAAAAAAGTAAGAAAGTAAGGGAGGTGTTGAACTTCTCTAATGATTACTGTTAAATTAATTCTCATTCAACAATTCATATTCTGAGAAAATAATCAATTGGAGCAAATTCATTGTAGTCATTTCACGGCATTGTATTATACTGACTAATACGTTACTTTAAAATTAAATCAGTTTGTACTATACCGCCATTCTTCTTGCTTCATAAGCAATACTATACAGTACTAAAATAAACTTTTTTAAGCTGCACTATGCTAAATTATGAATTTAAATCAATTCTTAACTCTTGCTGGATGTATCGAAATCGGTCCTAACCAAGCACTTTAATAAATGAGGCATTATATTTTACTTGCCAGAACTTTGCTCTTCACGTAAGCTGAGTGAATATCTTTAACGACGATTAAAATTCACTGAATGTTTCATTTACAAACATTATGATTTTTATCGAAATTATAAAATATATTTTTTTAATTCTTCATTTTATTATTTGATTATCTTCTCACTGAATACTTTTTCTTTCACGCTTAAGTAATTCGTTCCTTATTTAATCGCCAGCAAAGTTCCGGTAACTTAACAAGTGAATTCCAGAAAATATTAGTGGTACTTTTCACAATATTTTTGATTCTAAATGATCTAACAAAAGCACTGTTGTTTCGTTATGCTGCTGTTATTTGTTCAGAATAGGTTAATTGAAGTCAGTTATTGACATATGACGAATTGAGATGGACTTGTTGAGTTAGTTTTCCGAAAAATAAAAGAATGTTGTCTAGTCTTGCATTCCACTTGAAACATTTTCTTCATTTCCTGCTCCTCTGTAAGGCCATTGATGTCGGATCCATGGAACACGAGGTTTCTCATTTGGATACCACGGTGTAATAGGAAAGGTATTATGCATCGTCCGTGCTCCTCTCGGAGCCCATGGATCAGGAAAGGCCTTTTCAGCAGCTTCGTCATACAAATCCTCAGCACTTGAATGTGCCGAGAGAAATCGCCTGCCAAAGGCTTGTCCACTTGCAGCAGAAGCTCGTCGTAGAACCATATAGATGAAATAAGGCGGTTCTCGTGTTAGGGAAGAAATTGGCCATGTAGCACCCTCTCGAGGAGCTGAAAAAGAACGCCGAAGTAGTTTCCGTTGTGATAACTTGCGTCGACTACGACCTTTTAATGCCTGGCCTTTTCTGTGAAATTGTTGTCGATTAAATGAGGTTTGGTGAGGACTTAGGTTTTGCTGAGGAACCACTGCGATTTCTTGGCTACTTCGGGGCAGACAAGGTACCTGTTCTTCTATTTCTGGTGTTGGTGATCTTAGAGGAGGTGGACGAATTGATGATCTCTGTCTTCTTGTTCTTTGCCTTGAAAATCGTCTGTTCCAATTTCCTGTTTCTACTGCTGATTGCAAAGGCCAGTAAGTACACTTTTCACTAAAGGTTACAACTCTCGATCTTTTTTTATTCTCTAACAAAGGAGGTGATACCGCTGCAACAGCTCCTTCAAGCGACGAAGTTGGCGAAAAGTTTCCAACGATTTTCGGACCGAATGGTGTGAAAATAACTTGTGGTGGTGGAGTTGGTGGTGCAGATTCTGGAAACACAAAGCTTCCAGAAGACGTAGAAGAATCTTTTGGCTCGGTCTCTGTGATATTTTGGCGTTGTTGATGTGAAGCAAAGGACTTAATTTTCGGAAGGAAAGTAAGCATATCAGGTTGATTTGAGGAAATAGTAGACCGTTGTTGCAATTCAGCATCGCGATTGTCAGTGGGTATATTTTGAAGTTTCGGTTGTAAATTCTCAACAGTAATAAATTCATTTGTTATCTGAGTATAAGAAGGAACTGAAATCTCACTTGTCACGTCCTGCTGAGGAACGTGAAACGGTGACGTTGTGGCTGCAGTTATAATATTCGAAGTTGTTTGCGGTTCTTCATTAGCTACTCCTGCTGTCCAGCGTAGTTCCAGAGGTGAATCATTTTCTTCGTTTGATTGTTGACCTTGTTCCGCTGATAGTTGTTCCAGTCTAAGTTGGCTTCTCTTTATAGATAGCATTCTAGATTCG